CTTACGCATATAAAGTATACATCTTTTATTATGTAATTGATTTGATGTCTGGTATAATTTTACAATAGTTCTTTTCTACACTCAATTAGTTCTTTTATCCAGTACTATAATAGTGATATTATAAGAGTAGTGGATGTACATGTGTGTGTGTAACTTAATTATCATGTGGATCATTATCATTGTCACTATCACTTCAGAGTGTTTGTTTATATTACTCTACTATAGTTATTACTAGAAACAATGTAAAACATTCAAGGGCTCAGCCTCGTAGATTATTAGCTGGGAAAAAGCAGAATCCCAACTTTTATGTTGCTGCTAAAAAACTCCTGACTTGTTTTTTACTTTAAGCCTTGCTACACTGACTTTAAAAAAAGCCATAAGATATAAAAAGGCTGGCCAGTTTAGTGCAGTCAGTGACAAAGGTGACATTTCATGCATTTGTTTGATTTTCAGAGTTTATCTCAACAAAAAGGAGTTTCATAGTCACTTAATTGCACCTGTAACCTTTTCAAGCAGTTGAAAAGTCTTTAGACGGTGTTTTAGCCTTATCTTGTTGCTAGGAAGTAGGAATATCATGACTTCTGATTCCCGTGTGCTGATCACCATTTTATTATCTTTGGCCACTCCCACTTACAGGTGGGCGATATATCGAAATTGACAATATTTTATCGATATAATGCGGTATCGATACGTATCAATATCGAAAAAAATTGAAAAGAAATATCGATACCGTGACCACGCCCACAAAATGATTATATAACCTTAATAATAGTTAATTAACCACAGTTGCTAAGTAATGAAGTATCTCCAAACCGCTCCAAACACTTCTTTTTTGCAAAACAGAGGAAGTAACAGATGAAGACTAAGTCAAAACAGGTTAAATGAGAGTAATAATGCTTTTCCAAATCATAGTTTTTCTTGGAAATGGTACTTGAAACTTATTGGGCGTGGTCATGAAAATATCGAAATCTAGTATCGATATCAAACGATATTCATGAAAATATCGATATTATCGTATCGTTTAAAATTTTCAATATTGCCCACCCCTACTCCCACTTTCAATGAAATATTGAAATTTAGAATCTATTGCATTGCTAGGCATGTGCGTATATATAGAGAAGATACGGAATACGTACGTACGTGTACAGACAAACAAACAAACTCTACTCATCTTAGTGGGCTTCGCCCAATTATTACCGTAGATCGGGAAATTTTCATGTTAAAAATAATTGGCGTGGAATTTTTTTAAGGTGTTTTATTTCCGCTGGTTAACCCATCCGCGAATTTTTTTCAACATGAAAAATTTTAGATGCGTCGTGAACTGGACATGTGGCTACTAACTCTTGATGATGATGGACAGCTATTCAATGGAAGTGTTGCTCGTGAGAGCACTGAAACTGACAAGGAGCTTCTTAGGTGAGAGCTTCAGGCCTTCATTGGGCTTTTAGAAGAGCCTTGTGCATGCACCGCTGCCCCTTAGAATAATTCCGGTAATCTTATTATTCATTGTAGAAAATATTTTGTGAGTTAAAATTTTGTGGGTCACTTCAACTGCGAAAATATTTTAACAGCAAAAATTTCCCGATCTACAGTACATGTTGAATGCACATGCTTTGT